TTGGAGAATAAGAATAGCTCCTGAGAGACAGAAAGGGTCCCGAATAGGTTCCCAATGAGCCCACTCCTCAAAGGAAGTTTTATAGAGAAAAGTCACCAGGAGTGGGTACAACGTGGGTAGAAGTATAATCAACCAATAAGGTTACAAGTATAGTCGCTTAGGTAATATATATATATGTATTTTTGGTACCAGGGATCAAACTCGGGAACTTGAGCTTTCGAGGCAGGCGCCGGAACCACTGAGCTAAATCCCCAGCCCTTGCTTGGGTAATACTGACCCAATAGTAACAAGGGTATATGGATGACATCATTATCCTCGGTCGATGATCTGTAGTCCTAGTGTTTTCAGTGGGTGGGAGAGGATGGCCCACCCCCAATGAGATCATGTTTTATATATGGGAAATCCCAAAAGGTTGGTACCAGTAATCTCAAACTTCTATTCATCCCATAGGGAAGTATGCAAATCTGGCCACAGTGACTTCTGTCTTCTTCAGATGCCCCTCCAGACACAACTTGGATGTGTTCTCATCCTTGGCACTGACTTCCTCGAGGGCCCGGCCCTGTCTGACTGCCTACAATGTGTCTATCTAGGATCCAGGATTTAGCTCAGTGGCACTGTGCTTGCCTCACGAAGCACAAGGTATTGAGTTTGATCCCCTGTACCAAAAAAAAAAAATGTGTCTACTTAACTTAGCTGTCTGTATCAATTTCACATATCAAAAAGTTTCCAAGGTAACATCACTTCCAAAGAGTTTGTTTATAGCTGAGAATTTATGTAACTCCAAATGAATCAGTTTTATTATCTGAGGAACTGTTGGAAGCAAATAGTCATGAGAAGGGAGCCCAGTGAAGAGTGCACGGATACAATTTTCTGGTCCTTTGGTGCAGCTGTTCTGCCTGCATCATATGTGATCAACAGGCCTCATACGATTGTGCCCCATGGGCCCAGCTCAGTGGTGTTGCGCCTGCCTGGCAAGTGCAAGGTCCTGAGTTCAACCCCCAGTACAAAAGGAAAAAAAAAGTCCACTTATAGAAGACCGTACTCCAATCACTCCCTTCTGCATCAAAACAGGTAAACCACGTATTTTCTGGGGGTTTTGTTAATTTTTGGCTGAGAGATGGTCTCCTATGTAGCTCAGCCTGGCCTACTAAGAACTGTACAAAAGAAAAAGACAAGTCCTTAAGTACAAAGGATGGGTCCATGGGTAGTAAATCGGCACACTGAGATCTTCCCATTGCTAGAAATGGCTGTGACATAATTAAATATTAATCTATTTCCCCCGTGGTGGGGATTGAATGCAGCCAGGGCCTCTTATGTGCTAAGCCAAGAAATGCTCCATCGCTGAGCTAACCCTGCAGCTCACACAAAATGCAAGGTCCTAGAGAGAAAATTATCTCCAGTGCTATGGGAAACAAAAGCTAAGCTTTTATGTTTGATGTTTCTGGTTAACTCCCAGGACAAAGTTGCTTATTATTTCTGCTCAAGGGCCTGCACTTGGTATGTCCGGCTCTCCTTCTCCTCACTCTCCAGGTTTAAGCTATTTAATGAGAATGCGGCAGCTTGAGAGCCTTGTAAAAGTACCCAGTCCTGGACTTAGCTTTATCTAACACCATGTTTCTTACTATACAACCTGCCCTTAAGAAATTTAATTCGACAAAATGGGATCAAGATGCGGTATGTATCTGTTCCAATTCCCCGGGACGAATGTCTTTATTGTGTATCGCAAACATATACTAATAAAAGAAGAAGAAAAATAAAACCCAAATAAAAATCAAGTCACTTATGCTAAGGGTGCTCCTCGAGGGTGCTCCTCGCCAAACTGGAACAAAGCTGTTTATCTGACTTCCCAAGCACTCGGGATTAGAAAGACAATAGCCAAATTTCCCAAACAGGCCAGTTTCAATTGTCGTGATAACGAAGTTAATCCTTACACAAAAGAAATAAACGGAAATAACCCGCGGGAAAAAATTTAAGTCGAATCCTTTTTTTCTCGCTCAGCATCTGAAATCAAGCTTCCATTCGTGCTAAAAATCTAAGCTGAGATTCTCGGCTTTCCCGGTGGTCCTAGGCTAACCTTGGATGAGGACCGAGGAGACAAACACCAGCTGCGAGGAAATCCCCCTCTCAAAGCTGTGTTCCTATCAGCTCGGTGTTGTGTCTTGGAGAGACCTCAGGGCAGCAATCGGTTTGATAACTGTTTCCCCTGAGCTGTAGTCACGATTAAAAATGCTGCAAGCACAGCGAGGGTGCCCTTGACACACATCCCATTTTCTGGGAAAAGATTATTTCCACAGTCATTGAGCTGGGAAGCGGAGACAAATTACTCTCAGCAGGCTCGGCAGCGTTTCAAAGTACTGCGGTGGAGCGGAATCACACTACGCAGGTTTCCTTCCTCCACTCTGCAAGATAATCACAGCATAGCACTTCCCCTGTGGATCATCTGCAAGATAGAAGGAGAACGTAACAGATTAGACTGGAAATAGGCCCGGAACCCTGGCTAGACTAGAGGGGAAGGCCCGGAACCCCACCGCAGTCCCCGGCTGGGGGCGGCGGCGATGGATGTATTTACTTTCCCCACTGCTCCCAGAGCCCGCAGCTGGCGGAGCCCACGGTGACGTCACGAGCCCAAACATGCTCACGTGACAATGGCGGCCCCGCCTCTTCCCACTACCTCCCCGCCCATGTCCGTGCTCTCCCCGCCCCTCCCCGCCCATACCCTGCATCACCCCGCCCCTCCCTGCTCCTCTCCGCGTCCTCCCCACCCTTCCCGCCCCGCCCCTCTCTGTGCTTGCCCCGCCTCTCGCCGCCGCGGTCTAGTCTCGGAGCGCAGGCAGTGGTCCGGAGCGCAGGCAGTGGTCCGGAGCGCAGGCTGTGGTTCGGGCCCCTTTGCGGTGCGGGTCCTGCAGTCGGCGAGCAGCCCGAGAGCAGGAGCGCGGAGGAGCCGGGAGGGGAGTCCGGGAGCCGGCGGGAGGCAGCGCGGGTACGGGGCGGCGTGGCCGTTGCTCTCACCAACTTGGAAGCGCGCGGCGGCGCGGGAGCCGGAGCGATGAAGATGGTCGCGCCCTGGACGCGGTTCTACTCCAACAGCTGCTGCCTGTGCTGCCACGTGCGCACGGGCACCATCCTGCTTGGCGTGTGGTACCTGGTGAGCGCACCTGCCTTGCCCGCCGGCCTCCCCGAAGTCGTATTATTAGAAATTTAATCCCAGCTGGCTGGGCCGCGGGGGCGGGGCGCCGTTGGGCCCGGGCCTGGGGGGATCCTGTCCTGGTCCGCGCCGGGGTTGGGGGTGGGTGGGGAGGTGTCCGACTAGCCCCTCTGGCGCGTGCTGTCCCTGCACGCTGGGCTGCGCCTTGAGGGTGCGCGCGGCCATCGGGAGGGGGACCCGGCCAAGAGCGCCCAGCTCCCTTCCCGCGTCGCCGGGGGTGCGGGGCGCCCTCTGCTCCCCACGTCCGCTCCTACGCGGCCACGGCTGCGGGGCCTGGTCCCCTGGTTAGGAAGGGGTCCCTTGCCAGTCCTTAAACCCTTCCTCCAGGGCAGCATCCGCCTGGGGTTTGCTGCATTCCTATCTGCCCCGGGGAAGCCATCTTCCACCCACTCACTCCTTCCCGGCCCAGGGACCCGCGGTCCCGCGCTTCGTTTGCCTGGCGCATCCGAGTTTTGGGGTTTCCCTTGGATTGGCGCGTTGAAGGTCTTGCTTGTAGGAGAGCAGTACTGCTCTAAGCCGTGAGGAGACCTGACGGTGTGCTGCCCCGGGCCCCCCGCGTGGGGGGTCGGCAGCCCCGGACCGTGGCAACCCTGAGCGCGGAGTCCTCTGTATTTTGTGCTTCGTGATATCCTGGTGGAGAGTTCGATCCGAGCTCCTGACTCGGCAGTGACTAGCGCTGCAGCACGATGAAAATGATGGTCAGGTAGCAGACAGGACTTTGAAGTGAGGGTGCATGATCTCCTTCAACATGAGTCAGGTTTTTTTTTTTATGTTGGCCCATTTTTTAATACTTGATAATTTTTTGTTTTTGTTTTTGGCACCGGGGATCGAACTCGGGACCTTGCGCTTTCGAGGCAGGCGGCGGAACCACTGAGCTAACTCTCTGGCCCAATACTTGTGGACATTATGTTGATTCGTTGTCATTTTAAATGAAACATTGCCCCCCTATGTGGTGTTTATTTAGTTTTGTGGTACTGGGGATTGAACCCAGGGCTTTCACACTGAGCTACATCCCTAGTTCTCTCCAAATTTTTTGAGACTGGGTCTTGCTAAGTTAGTGGCCCAGGCTGGGCTCAAACTTGTGGTCCTTCCTCTTGCCTCAGCCTCCCATCGTGCTGGGATTATAGGCATGCATCACCACACCCGACTCACTCTGCTGTTAAGTTTCGACTTTCCTTTAGTCAGTGCCAGTCGTGGCCACAGGAGAAATTTTTGGCATTAAAAGCTTTGAGCCAGATCTTTAGTGTGCATGGGTCCTTACCACAGTGTGAATGCAGTTTGAACATCAGTGTTTGGCTTAACGCTGACTTTTCTAAAAGCAAAGGAATTATTTACAGAAATTCAAAAATCATAGCGGAAACCTAGTAAGTGGGCTCAAAATAGTACTTTTATCGATGATCAGGGAAGACCATTTTATGCAGGTATCTTGTGTGCTCCTTGAAAATGCTCCAGTCTGCAGACTTGCAAATACATTAGTGAATGTGAATGTCATTTGTAAAAATCTAGGGCACTGCATTAGGCAAATGTACTCCGTGATCTACAGCAAAGATAAATCTACTTGAGCCTGGTTGTTGGCTGTGGTCCAGCCTGGCCATACTGGTGTGATTAAAAAAAGTTCTCAGCCTGCTGGGTCATAGGCCTAGCACGAGCTCTTTGTGGGAAGTTGTTGGGGTGTGTTCCTGTGTCACCATTTGGAAATGTGGAAATAGGTGATGGCTTTTTGAAAGATCAAAAGTCTCCTAAGGGATGTGAAAAAGAATGCTGCTGCAGGTAAACTCCTATGGGAAGTGGGGTTTAAGTACTGTGCATTGAATAGCACTTCACAAAACTTGCTGTGGTGTAGTTTTTTGTCCCCCTTGGGTAAACACCTAGAAGTAAAATTGTTGGTCATTGGATAAAATGTTTAATTTTACAAAAAGTCTTTTGCATTTCAAAAACGATTTAGACTTTTCTCACATCTTAAATTAATTTGGTTAGGGCCGGGGATTTAGCTCAGTGGTTCCGGCGCCTACCTCGCAAGTGCAAGGTCCAGAGTTTGATCCCCAGTACCAAAAAAAAAAAATTAATTTGGTTATCCAAAACCTTAAAACTCTATGAGCATTTATTTGTAAGACTGTCCTGTGGCTAGCAGCAGGGCTCCCCCCTCTGTCTCTTTCACTAGGCATTTAGAGATGGGGAGAGATTCCAGGAAAAGGGGTGTGGGTATGGACAGATAGTCGAGGAAGAGTCTATGCTAATAGCTCTTCCTTAAACTAAGCCCGAAAAATGATATTTTAAACGAGTGTTCTGATTGCTGCTTTTTTCCCACCACTGCCTTTTTTTTAAACTAAGCTCTCTGTGCCAGGTACTATACTAGATTCTTTGCATAAGCTTCATTTGTGTATTCCTGGTGAAATCAGTTGTCTTATTCTCTCTCTTTTTTTTTGGTACCGGGGATCGAACTCGGGTCCTTGTGCTTGCAAGGCAGGCAGTGGAACCACTGAGCTAAATCCCCGGCCCATCTTATTCTCATTTTTATAGATGAAGACCAAGGTAATTTACAAGGTCCCTTGGTTGGTTTGTGACATTGTAGTCTGTCCTATTTCTCTTTTATTTTTTTGGTACTGGGGATCGAATTCAGGACCTTGTGCAGCACCACTGAGCTCAATCTTTTGCCCCCTTATTTCTCTTTTTCTCTCTCTCTCTCTTTTTTTTTTTTTTGGTACCAGGGATTAAACTTGGAACCTTGTGCTTTCGAGGCAGGTGGCGGAACCACTGAGCTAAATCCCTGGCCCTTCTCCTTTTCTCTTAAAGTTATGTATGTATTTTGGTTTTTGCCTTGGAATAACAAAAGTTTTAGTGGAGTGATCAGTGGCTACAGGTAGTTATTGAGATCCTTTTTTGTCTTTTATTTTACCTCTTACTGAACTGTAATGTACATACAGTGAAAGTCACAGTCGCTGTGTACAATTCACTGAGTTGACATATGGCCACACCTCTGTTACCAACCCACAGCACATTTCCAAAACCCCAGAAAGTTCCTGGTGACTCTTCCTAGCTAACCTCAACCTCCCCTCTGTCACTTTGGGTGACTGCCTATTCATATGCATGGAATTACACTGTGACACTTTTGTGTCAAGCTCCCCGCACTTAGCCTAACTTCAGAGTCACTGTTGGAGTGTATCAGTAGCTTATTCCTTCTGTTGCTGAGTAATTTATTCTGTGAATATGCTGCGATGTGATTGGAAAATGGAGTGAATGTTTACATTTTTTGTGTTTTTTTTTTTTGTACCGGGAATCACAGGGACCTTGCGCTTGTGAGGCAGACAGCAGAACCACTGAGCTAACCCCCACCCCCAGCCCGAATGTTTACACTTAAAAAAAAAATTTGTTTCAGTACCTGACACATTGTCATTAATCCCCTCAAAATACGCTCTCTTGCTTTGAACACATTTATCCCATCTTTGCCATTTTCTGAAGCAGTTCTGGAAGTTCTCTTTCGTGTCAAGGTGCCTTTATCGATTAAAAGCATTTTCCTTTCATGGTCAGTTTGATTTGGGGAAGAGCCAAAAGTTGCACAGTGCCAGATCCAGTGAAAAAAACAAAAGAGGACACATTGTAATTTTTTTTCTTTTTTTTTCTTTGGTTCTGGGGATTGAACTTGGGACCTTGCGCTTGGGAGGCAGGCGGCAAAACCACTGAGCTAAATCCCCGGCCCCCATAGGAACTCTATACACATTTTGCACACCACCCAGCCTCAAGGCTGTGTACCCCTGGGCCTGGCTTGATGGGTTCTGTCCATCCTGAGAAGTTCTGGTGTTATAGCTATTGATTTTTGCCTGGTGCAGGACTGTAAAACTGACATCTTACATTAAAGCGATTGATGGCTTTTAGTGGGCTTTCACATTTGTTCTTATTTAGACCTTAGAGTAACCCTGAGTCAGGCTGGGTAAGTGGCAGTGTGCTCATTCAAGATGAATAGCTTTCCAGCTGTTGGAGTCTGCAACTTGGCCCTTAATCCCAGGCCAAACTATGGGCTACATTTCTAGAGCTCCTTGCCTGGCGTTTTCGTACTACATTCGATCAACAAAAGACTGACGCACAAGGGTTTGGAGTTTATTCTACAGGCCGTGAGGAGCCCTTGAAGAATTAGGAACAGGGTTTAAGGAAGCTTAAAATGGCAAGCTCATCTGTATGACAGGAGGACAAGACCAGACCAGAGTGTGGGTTACACAGGCCTGGCGTTCTGCTCAGGTCTTCCGTTTGCTAATGCTATGAGTAATATAGGCGAGGGTTTTTGTTTTGTTTTGTTTTGCAGTACTAGGGATTGAACTCAGGGCATCACACATGCTAGATAGAGGCTTTTATCAGTTAGTGAATGGTACATCTCCCTTTGATACAGGAGATAAAATATGGAAATATTATATCTCCCAACCTGTTAGATGTCTGATGCCGAGCTCGTGTTCTCTGCAAATTGAAGAAGGATGAATTCTAGGAACAATGGAGGTTAAGAGTAGGAAAGTATTTATTAGGAGGATAGCTCCTGAGAGGCAGGAGGAACCTGAGTGGGTAGCCAGGGACCCCACTTTACAGGGAGATTTTTAGAGGAAAACTCACATGGGTACAATGTGGGTTGCAGCTATGATTAACCAATAAGGTTATGAGTATAGTCACTTAGGTAATAATCTAACGGAGGAAAAGTCACATAATAAGTGTGCATGGAAAGAACAAAGACTTTCCTAGGAAATGATGGATCCAGAGGTCTTGGTCACCCATGGGGTGATTGATATCTATCTAGACTTCATTAGGCCCCTTGTTTGGCTTTTGAGGAAATATGCAGACCTAGTTGCCATCAGATGTGTCTTGGGCCACAGTTGTGATGTGTTTCATCTTTGTCTGACTCTCCACGGCCTCCCCCTATCTGACTGCCTGTACTGTTTCTGTCTAACTTGGCTGTCTAT